CTTGTATAATTTTTTTTTTTCAAAATTTTTAATTTACTATTTTAAAAATAAAAATAACTGTGTTTTACTCATGAAATTTATATTAATTATACAATAAAAAATATTAGTAATTTTTTTTTTGTATAATTAATACAATAATAATTATGATTGCATTAGATTTTACATAATCTTTATATTCCACTATAAACATGATTATAATATAAATAAATTTATTAATTTTTTGTTCGACTTCGTCTAGGCAGAGCCGCGTAGACGCTTTAAGCGCTAGGTCCCAGTGCAGAGCCCGACTTTTAGAATACTGATTATAATTAGCTAGAGAAGGCATTTTGGTATAGAAAACCTAAAACAGAACATATTAATTTGGGCAAAGACAAATTGGCAGTAGAGGCAGCACTCAGAGCTTTTATATCACTCCAGCAGCTGCTCTAGAACAAACATGCCAAGATTTTCTATAATACAAGCACACACACACACATATATATATAATCAGCATTTGTCGGCATCACTCACCGGCAACAACTCCGGCAACCCTTCGGCCAAGCAGAGGGCTTTCCCGTCATCTCCGTACGCATTCCAGCAGAACGGAGCTCCCCACCTCCCAACCTTCCCAGCAGCTGGCGACAGCTCGACGGCACGGAGCGTGAGGTTCGTGCACGGCACAGTGTCGCTGCACGTGAAGCGCACGGGCGGGCCCCGCGGGTCGTACGTGCCCTTGATGCTCGTGTACGAGACTCCGCTCACGTACACGGCCGAAGTCTGGTTGGGGCATTTGCCTTTGGAGTCGCAGTAGTATTGGTCGATGATTATGGGGTTTCGCACCTTATCCATTCGGATGTTGGCGAAGGCCACTCGGGAGACGGACCCGAACCCGCCTTGCCAGGTCTTTATGCGGACTCCGTTGTCTGATTGGGTGATAACTGAGTCCGAGACTGTGATGTTGGACACACACGCCCTCGAGTTCTTCATGCCTAGGCTGCCGATGCTGGCGGAGGAGATATTTGTAATTAATTAAAATAATAAATTTTGAAATGATAGTATTCTGGTTTGCATATTTATGTAAAAAACATAAAAGTTGGCTGTGAAAATAAGCATTTAATTGAAAATAACTTAAAATTGAAACTCTCAGAAAAAACTGAAAATTCAGGTCTTACACAATAATAACAAAAAGTCAAGCCTACTTGTAAACTAATCAAGTAGGCACATGGGCTAGGGAATGGACCAAGTGGTTGGTTAGGCTCATGTATATATGGGTGTGCTGGGCCTCAAACCAGATATGAAATTGGAATAAATATTTGTACCTTATTCCATGGCTAGGACCACAAGTTATGTTCCTTATATCTACATTGTAGGAACCTGCTCCAATGGACACACAGTCATCACCTGCATTCAAAAACAACTGCCAACTTTCAATATTGAGACTTCTGGGGGAAATATAGTTATAATTTAGGTGCTATTTTTATTTTATTTTATTTTTGTTGGCGTTACCGTTGGCAACGATTGAGTTATATATCTTCACATCATTGCTGTTTTCTATGTGAATCCCATCGGTGTTGGGGCTTGTAGCCGGCGATTTTATAGACAAAGAGTCGATACGGACACTGTTACAGTAGTCGAACCGGAAATGGAACTGTGGGCTGTTTCTAATCTTTAGCCCTTGTACTGTCAAATTGGAGCTCCCATAGAATCTTATAGCCTGAAAAATGGATACAGAAAATACATTTTTACATCTTGTTTACAAATTTTGGGCGATTATAAATTAATTTGAAGTAGTTTGTGTCTAGACGTACAACTGGGCTGTCGCATGGACCGGATACAGTTGTTCCATTGACCCCCTGTTTCATTAAAATGTATGTATTTGCTCAGATGATGCTAGAAAAAAGTTATAGAAAGTTGAATGCATAATAGGGGTTCGTTAACAAAAAGACTACAGCTAAATCTAGTCTAACTAAATTGCCAAAAAGGTTAAAATATAGTACTACACTACAGAACATTGTCCAATTAACTGGTGCGTTTGCTACATAACATGTACCTTGTTACCTAATTAGGAATATGTTGATAATACTTTATACATGTATTTTCTATTTTTATTCACTTTGAAATATCATAATTTCACCCTAAATATAAAGAATGTAAAAAAAAAAGAAGAAGAAGAATTAATTTACCCTGTGAGGTTTGCAGGGCAGATTCCACCATTTTTCTCCTTTTCCATCAATGACCCCACCTCCTTGCATTGTCATCCCATTCACCCGATAGAAAACCAGCCATTGCCTCTTATTGTATATTTTCGACCATGAGTCGGGCCCGTCCGGTGGAATTAAGCTTCCTTCAATCTAACGGCCAAAAAATATTTCATAAATATTAAAATGTGATCAATTTATGAAACTTGTTTACAAATTAATCTGTTCAATATGATTTTTTTAGGTTAACTATGTTTAATTTTGAAAAAGGTGATAGGATTAGTTATTAATGGGATTTTAAGTTTATAATAAAATAATTAAAATTGATTTGATGTAAAAGCAAGAAAGAGATGATATGAAGTGATAGTTAGTTAAAATTATGTGAGAAGATGAATAGTGAATTAAAGTTGACGTGATGTGTAAGAATAATTGGTTTGTATTATTTAATTATACAAATAATATTAACGATAGTAGGGTTGAGTTACAGTTGAGTTAGATTTTGAGTATTGATCAGATGTGAGTGAATTTTTTGTTTTATAGACAAACACCCGTTGCGAAATTACATTACCTGAAAAACTAATCCATTTCCACACGGGCCAGTGAAAATTGTGGACTGGATCAAGAAAGTATAATGGCCGGGCACGAGAAAAACGGCAGGGACATTAGCTCGACAAGCCAAGTCCCAAGCTGTTTTAAATGCCAACGTATCATCACTTAAACCGTCACCCAATGCACCATAAGACAAGACGTTAAAAACCGATATTAATGATGAAATTTGGGGAGGATTATAGTTCTCCGGAGAGGGAGAAGGTGATGCCGATATATAGGAACTTACACGATAATCTGACGTTTTTTCTAAGTGCTCGAAAGGCCTACATTGAACTAAACGACCCGAAAAGCATAAAGGGATAGCCAAAAAAAGAAGAAAATATCTACAGGGATACATATTATGAGCCTATATTTTTTTTTTACTTTCTTCTTTAAGATGAGCCGAGGTTTATATACACGCGTGTGTGATGAGAAGTTAGTACATGAAACTAGTTGGCCACTTAGGTAATACGTGCGCATGCAAAGCCTAGGTTATGGATAAAAGAGAGAGTAGCTTTTGAAAAAGTGCAAATGCTATTGAGAATTATGGAGATTTTATTGTTGTTATTGTTGTAAGTGGTGTATAAATTTGTAGGGTTGGAGAGTGACGGGCGCTCACATGACCACTTTAAGAAAATCTCACTACAGTTGCAACCAAAAAAAGAAGAAGAAAATCTCACTACAACTTGCATAGAAATTACGGTTAGTTTCAATGAAGGAAACAAAGTCAAAATAGCGTGCTACAATTTGGTCAGATTTATGTGCCTGATGGTGGTGGTACTTCTTTTCAGATTCCGTTTTATCGTTTAGATTCGGTTTTCTTTATCACTAGTATAACGACCGTGTACTGCACGGGTGTTTAATAAAAAAATTAATTGTCCAACAAAAAGTGAAATAAATAAAATTTTTATTGTGAATTAAAAAACTATAAATAATTAATAATAATTTCTTTTTAATATTATTTCGAATTCAATAAAATATTTTTATGAAGTATTAATTATTTTATTTAATATATTTTTATTTTTGTCAAAATTAAATAAATTAACTAATTTATTCGATAGTTAATAACGCTCGCGAATATCACGGGCGCTTGAAAGTTAAATATTTGTATCAAAATAAAGTAGTGAAGAAATATATATATTCTTATTGTTGAATGATAATATATTAATAACAAGCCTAATTATTTAAAGTAATACTCTTATTTTATACTCAATTTGTTAAAATGATAATTTTCTTAACCACACACACATATATATAACTCAATAATTTAATTTTGAATTAAAGTTTTTCAAGTTTGATTATATTGTAATTATACCTTTTATATTTATACATTTTACCTCCCTGATTTAATATTTTTTAAAGTATCTTCAACTTTATAATATTCAACAATTTAAAATATAATGTGCATGAGTGTAATATTTTAAACTTTATGAAATAAAATAATTATTTTTAAAATTTTAATTATTATGTTTATTTACTTTTTTTCACGATCATAATGTTTCTATGTAGTCTTTATCTAAGTCGAGACATAAATTTTAAATTTTTTTTATACTAATTTGATGTTCAAATTAAGTATGAACATCAAATTATTCATACTTAGTTTTTTTATACTTAGTATAATTTTATTTGATAAATTTTAATCTAGTTTGATAAAAAAATTTAGATTTTATTTATAAGGATATATATCACTATTTTATATTTTGTATATATAATATGGATGTCAAATCGAAGATCGTTAAATGATAAATAATTTGATATATCATATATAAAAATAAAATACAAATCAAAAAAGTTATAAAATTTTAAAAATAAGAAGAATAAACATTTATAATAATTGATGAATGAATTAAATAAGAAAATGAAATTTAATATATGGTAATGTAGGAAAAGGAAACTTAAAATAATTTATGGTAAAATATTTTAGAATAAAAGAAGGAAGAGATCAATTAGGGTTTAATATGAATGATATAGATACATACTTATTTTTGTATAAAAATATTAATTTATATCCAAGTCTGACTCCGAAACATGATTTTTCTCCACATAAGATTCCGAAGTGTGAGAACATGCGACTTAGGCTCAACGCAAAGTTGACTCGTTATTGATTTCAAGACTCAAGTAGTACCTCATTTTTTATTTTTTTCAAAAAATTCTCAAAAAAAATGTCAACATCCCAATAAAATTGTAAATATTTTGCTGAACTCAGGCATGGACAAGTTGGGAGATAAAGAAATTGAAGAAGCAATAAAAGTAAAAAGGATAATCAGTTTATCACACATTTAGGTATATATGTTGGTCCCGCGAACTATGTTCTTACATATTATTATTGATGCAATTGTCAAACCAAAAAAATACCGAAGATAATNAAACACTATTTATATAATTTCTCAAAAAGAAAAAAAAAAAGTCAATCGCTGAGCACTCACAAGTTAAATAATAAGTAAGGCAGAAAAACGCATTATTGCATCTCAGAGATCGTAAGGCATATAGCAATCAGCAAATGAACCAGAGCAAATCTTGCAGATGACACGAACATCATCAGAGCCAGTTAATGAGAAATAGAAGCACCAGAAGATTTGATAAGACATGGGATGAATCCCGGCAAAAAGAAAAACACTTATGATCATGCGAATAAGAGTCCCTAGAAGGAAGAAAGATAATTGGTTTGATACTAAGAGAATATCACACTGCTAATCATTTTAAATAGATGTCTCGTCTATTTAATTTGCGTAATCATTTACCTAATCAAAAATAAAAATTTAAGGGGATGTTCTCGTCTCCTTAATTATTCTTTTTGCTGTAGTTCTTTTAAAAAAAAATGCTAAGTATTCTTTTTTAAAAGTTTAGGCATTTAGGACTTAGCCACAAAGCTTTAGGCATTTAGGACATGCCTAAAGTTTTAAAATTTGGCTATGTGTTTCAAAGAACTCGGCCATCTTTGTGCACCAAGCCAAGCCTATTTCAACTAAGTGATTTTGTGGCTAAGTCCTAAATGCCTAAGCGTTCAATTTTTGTTCCTAAGTGCCTAAGGTGTATGTTTCTTGTGCTATATGTGGATGACATTCTTCTCATTGGAAACATTATGAAGAAGTTGTCAGATGTGAAGGTATGGTTATCCAAGTAGTTTGATATGAAGGATTTGGGAGAAGCACGACACATTCTAGGGATCAAGGTCATTTGAAACCGTGAGAAGAGAATGTTGTACCTATGTCAATCCTCGTACATAGATACTGTCTTGGCGCGTTTCAACATGCAGGTTTCTAAGAGAGGGGAATTACCCTTTCGGCATGGAAACTCTTTGTCTAAAAAGATGCCTCCAAAGACATCTCAAGAGATAGAGGACATAAAGGCGGTTCCTTATGCATCGGCAGTAGGAAGCCTTATGTATGCAATGTTGTGTACGCGGCCAGATATCTATTATGTCATGGGAATGGTAGCCATATATCATAGTAATATAGGACCAGAGCTTTGGACTGCGGTGAAGCATATACTCAGGTATTTGAGAATGACTAAAGAATAGATGTTAGTTTACCGAGAAGACGAGTTACTCCCATTGGGTTACATTGATTCTGATTCCAGTCAGACCGGGATTAAAGTAAATCCACCTCAGGGTTTGTGTTTACTCTGGGAGGTGGAGCCATAGTTTGGAGGAGTGTTAAGCAGAAATGCGTGACAGATTCCACTATGAAAGTCGAATAAGTCGCAGCCTCAGAGGCAGCGAAATAAGCGGTGTGAGTCAGGAACTTCCTGTTAGACCTTAACGTGATACCGAGTTTGCCCATTGTGATCACAATCTTCTGTGACAACAGCGAGACAATAGTAAACTCGAAAGAACCACGAACACATAAGACGAGTAAACACATAGAGCGCAAGTATCACTTGATACGAAATATCGTTGGACGAGAGGAAGTCGTTGTTACCAAGATAGCGTCAGAGGACAACTCAGCGTATTCTTTTACGAAGAGCCTACCGGCGATGGTCTTCGACCAACACGTAAAAAGAATGGGATTCAGGTGTATGGCGACTAGATAGATTAGTCTTTGAAGATTAGATTAAAATAAAATATACTTAATAATAACGGAAAGCTTTATAGAGTATAAGTGAAAGATTGTTAGGGTATACTGTAACTAACAATACCATTTTGAATGAGAATTATGTTTTAGTCAAGTACGTGTGTTTACAGTTTATTTATTCATGCAAGCATAAGTTCCTTTATTTTACAGTGTAGATAATATAGTTCAATGTGTCAAACATATAGATCATATTATCAGTTACTTGTAAAATATAAATGATTCACAGCCTAGACGGAATTGAACTATCCGTTGAGAAAGGGTGTAGTATAATTTTGATTCAGTTGATCTTTGACTGATGAATTACGCTAGTACACTTTGAGTGTATTAAATGGACCAACGGAGGATAAGATTATTTTATACTGACCAAGTAAAAAATCTAGAACTCAATAATTAATGCGTTACCTTAACCCGTAGGACAATAAACGGGCATATGTACTCAATACTTATTTGTTTTATTTTACCAAGGGTGATTCCTATTTTAATTAAGATGACACACTCGGCATTTTGGTAAATAATATTGCTTAAATGATGTGCCGTTGAAATTGCTTAAGGTCATTATGTCCCAGTTCGCTGGGTTGATGGCGTCTCCGAAATGAGCTTAGGAATGACTTATTATGTTAAGCCCTGCAGGCGGATTAATTTTCAACATAATAATTAAGAGTTGAGTGGTACTAATTTTGGATATTAAAAAAATTAATTTTAATTATCAATAATTAAATTAATAAATATACGTTATATCTTAAACATAGAGAGGTAAAAAGATCAATTAAATTAATTAATCTAATTAATTGCAGGGGGTGAATTTGTTTATATATTGGAGCTAATTGGGGAGATCAATAATATTACTCTAGTGGAATGTTTTATTATTTATTCAAATAAGAAAAATAAATCAAATTGTCTTTTAGAAATTTCCTAAGTATGAGGATCTAATATCTTCTAGAATATTACCAAAGTTGGAAGACAAGAGGTCTTCTAGAAGGGTAATAAAGTTGAAAGACATTAGGATTTCTAGAAGGTTAAAGAGTTGGAAGACATAAGGTTTCCTAATCCTATTTGAAAAAGCTCAAATTTAGCACCTTCTTAGAATCCCTAATGTAGCTTATAAATACATCAAGTCCCAACACCTCTTCCATACTTTTATGACATCCAATTTTTAGTCTTGTAAAAGAGGGAAAAAAATTGAGTGAAATATTTAGAATGTTTCGAGAGTTTCATTTAGTCGCACCACAAAGACTATTCGAAGTAGGTGCAAGGATAATACATTAGAAGATCATAAGGTATAATATTTCGAGATCCCGACGAATATATTATCACCGCAAAAATATTTCGATGACCAACCTTTGGCCACTAGAGATCATCCACGACGACCGACCAGCCATCGCACGCAAGCCCCGACGATG